TATGCACCATTGTACTTAAGTGCTGGGTATAAACAGAATGACCCTCCCCCCCAAAAAATTAGTCCTTGATCTCAAGAAGTTCACAGGCTAATGGAGGAGACTATTTGTAAACAACTATGAACAATCAAAGTAAATAACAATAAGTGGGTGATCACTGCTGCAGAGAAATCCTTCTCTACTCTTATTTCCTTACAATTTCAATTACCACAGTGATTGGCCTAACCTTTGTCTTGTCTCCTCTGAACCCCAACTGTACCTGATTGCCCACACTTATAATGGGAGACAAAATCCTCCCTCAGTGAAAAGCCCAAAGCCCTAGAAAGAGAGCTCCCTTCCCCAAGTTCTTTTCTTTGTTCTTAACATTTTCATAGCATAATTACCTTCTCTTGTCTCCAGTCAAAAAGTAGCTATCCTTGCTCCTAGGGCTGGTACCTCAGAGACCGTAGAGTCCAATCTGTAACTTATCAAGAACCTGTCCTACAACAGAGCCAAACAAGTCCAATCTTTTATTCATAATTTCCTGTGAGGAAGAATTCACCACGAAGAAAGCCCATTTTGGTTTTGACCAGCTCCAACTCAAGATGTTTGTCCTTACAGCAAATGTAAGTGTGACTCTTTCCAGCTTCTGACCATCACTTCTAGTTCCTTCCTCTTCAGTTAGATGGAGAAAGTCTCATCCCTCTTTTCCATGACAGTCCTTCATTTCCTGAAGTCAACCACCATGTCTTATGAAAATTCTTTTCTTTAATTCAGACATTCCAGTTCCATTAATGGCTTTACATATGGTATAAATTCTCAGTCCTCCTCTGGGCACTTCCCCACTTATCAGTATCTTTTGAAAAAATATGGTGGTCAGAACTCCATACAATATTCCAGAAGCCAGTTGACTAGGCCAGTAATATACTTTATTCTGGAACACCATGCCTCTCTTAGGCAGCCTAAGGCTACATTAGCTCTCTTGGCTGCCAAGTCCTACTCTTGTCTTATAATGACCTCATAGGTCACTTAACCCCAGAACTTTTCTGGATGAATGGCTGTCTTTCCATGACTTCCCCATTTTGTTCTTCTGAAGAACTTTTTTTTCTTTAACTCAAGCATTAAGACTTCGTATTTATACGTATTATATTTTGTCTATTTATATTCTTAGCATCATCCTCTCCCACCTCCTTCAGGATCTTGATCCAATATCAATTTCTTCTTGGCATAATCAATCTCTCCTTTGTCATGAGCTCCTTTTCTTATGTCTAAAACATGTTCATGTCTCTACAGATGTTAAAAAGAGCCTTCCTTGACTTTTCTACCTAATCCATCTGCCATCCTATTTATCTTATCTTAGTTAATGTTAACATGTCTGAAAAAAGTTATATGCCTTTAAGTCTCCACTTACTTCATCGCTTACTTTTCCCCCACCAATGGTATCCTGAAATTCCTGTTTCAAAGCTCATCCATGCCCTCTTGATTGTTTACTTTAATGGCTTTTGCTTGGGTCTCTTGACTATTGGCTTTCTCTTGGCTTTGATGCTACCTCTTTAACTCCTCTACTTTGGTTATAACCCCTCATCTCATCCCAGACTTCAGGAGATGAGTCTCCAAGTCCCTTGGTGCTTTTCTCTTCTATGAGCAATATCTTTCATTGCAGTGGATCTAGCTACCATATTTATGCAGCTGACTCCTAAGTGTATTTTTTCATTCTTGACCCCTTTTATTAGTACTAGACCTAAATCAGTAGATCAGTTATCATGTTTTTATTGAGCACTTACTAAATGTCAGATACTGTGATAAGTGCAGCTATCAAGATCACAGAGAATATTCCATCTGTAAAGGGACATTGGAGGTCATAGAGGTGTGGGAGCAAAGACTCATAGATTTAGAATCAGAAGGACCTTAGGGATCATCAGATCCAATTCCCTCCTGCTATGCAGAAGTTGAGGCCTAGAGATGCCCAAGATCACATAGGTAATAAACATGGCCAGGGAAGGATTTGAACTCAGATCTTATGACACAAAATCTGGTATTTTTTACATGTTCGTGCTATCTCATATGAATTTGGGGTGTTGAAATGAAAATGCTTAAAGGATGTAAGAATTGTGGATTGTTACTATCATGATAGGTATTTTATGCCTTTAAATTGGAATGCAGAAACTGAGCAGCTGTTGGCCCACTGGCCTGGATTTTGACATTTTTGAGGTGTCCTCTGACTCTGAGATCCTATGATTGTCCATATCAGTGAAAATGTCCAAGGCAGATGCCTGCATCAGCCTAGAGATGTAAGGAGGGCATCATTGTGTTCAGGGAGAGTTAACATGCTCACTCCAAAAACATATGATTTGGGGTATGGTGTGGGGTGGAGGTGTAATTTTACTGATGCCAATGGGCCTGTCTAAATCATAAACATCCTTGCTGTTTCTTTGAGCCCCAATAGAAGGTTCACAAAGTATTTTCCTCACAACCCAATTAGGTAGGTGGCACAGGTAGTCATGTCCTCATTTTACAGATGAGGCTCTGAAGACTTAGTGACTTGTCTAGGAGTTTAGAATCAGGAAGTACCTGAGGCAGGATGAACTTTGAAGCTTCCTGACTCCAAGTCTAGTCCACCTAGTTTTCAGCAGGATTTAATCAATCAGGAGAGGATGTTCTCTCAATCCCTTGATGATTTCTCTACTCCCTGAGAATGCTGAACCCCACCCGGTCCCATTTACTCAGCTGGAAGCCAGAGATGACAGCCCATTTCCTATGCCTCATGCAGGCAGGAGACTCAGCCATCATTAGAAAATACCATCCATGGGCCATCGGTTGGCAAGGCCAGCTTGGAGCTTACCTGAAACCTAAAGAGAACAGGAATCTAATTTCCTCAATTTAGTATGACCAAACCCCAAGGGATGCTTTCAAATCATTCAACAAACAAATCTGGCCTATAGTGGGCCCTATATAAATGTTTATTAACTGACTTGCAAAGACATAAATAACCTTTGGTTGAGTGCCTTCATGACAAACCCTGCTTGATAAGCTCCAGGGGCCATTTGGCAATTAATGTTCCTCAGACTCTCACCCCCTCCTATGTTTCCAGGGTAGTCATACATCGCTCTCCTCCCTGAGCTCTTTATTCCAGCCATGATGGATGCTTACATTTTTCTATTCCTAAAACAAGGTGCTCCAATTTCTATCTCTTGGTCTTCACAGCAGATGTCCTCAGTGCCTGAAATGAGCTAACTCCCTGCTTACCTCCAACTTTTAGAATCGCTAAGAGTAATAAAAGGTCCACTTTGTCTCCCTTAGCTGCTACTCCTCTGCCCTCCACCCGATCTGGCACCTGATTTGCACACATTTTCCATATCCCTGTACATGGGCAGGTCGTCTCCCCCACTAGAACAAAACTATCTTGAGGGCTGAAAATAGTTCCTTTTTGTATTCTCAGTGCTTGGCACATAGTAAGCATTTAATAAGCACATGTTTGTTAATGGAGTAATTGTAACTATGTACCATACACTTTGTTAGGGACTAGAGAAATACACCAAAATTAAAAAACCAGAAGGCCTTTTAGGGGCTTACATAGTATTTATGCTATAAATCATGGCCACAGGTCAGCAAAAAGAAAGAATATAGAAAGGGATTCCAACAGGGAAGGATTGAGACCAGAGGGTTCAAGAAAGACCTCATGTAAGAGGAGGTGACCCATGATCTTTGCTCTGAAGAAAGCTCAGGATTCTAAGAAGCAGCAGCAAGGTGGGAAAGCATTTTAACCATCGGGATTACTCTGCTCCAAGACACGGGGGTGAGGACGTCATTACTGTGTAGGGGGGTGAAGCAAATAGATGGATTGTTTTTGGCAGTCTCACTAAAGGGGCCACAGTAGGAAAGAGCACAATGACCAAAAATGTGGTGAGATCCTGCCATGCAGAAAGCTCCAACTGCCTTGGCCAGTCTTTGGTGAGCCCATGAAAGTGAATTTAAACCCTGTCACCACACATAAATGGCGAGTCATTTAGGAGCGCTATAGGAGTGAGCATGTGAACACTCACACACACATACACACACACATCCACACATACATATGGAAGTATTCTTCACAACTAAGGAGGATGCAACCTTTTTGGCAGAAGAAGAAAAAAAAAACAGTGGCTAAAATTAGCATCCCCAGAAAAACCCCCGCAGTAACTGAGAATGAGATTATCTTAAAAGTGTAAAACAATACAGATAGAATGACAGCTCTTACAAGAGAGAAAATTAGGGGAGTCAATTTGGGAGAAGCTTATATCGAGATGGAATTTTCCTTCCCCCACAGTGAGATGAGGAAGTTAAAGTATTTCCTTATAACCATTAGCATTCAGTTATTTTTAATATTGACCCAACCCTATGATATTATCAAAGTGTGCTTAGAATTGTATCTTTCTTCTAATAGAATTCAGAAGAACTGATAATGAATCAAATGCATGTATATATGCATATACACATGTGTTTATATGCACATATATATACACATGTATCCTATGTATCCTTGTATAAAGAAGTAACTATGATAGAAAAACAGAAGGTGGGAAGGAAGGAAGGAAGGAGAAAGAGGAAGAAAGAAAGAAAGAAAGAAAGAAAGAAAGAAAGAAAGAAAGAAAGAAAGAAAGAAAGAAAGAAAGAGAAAAGGAGGTAGGAAGAGAGGGAGAGGATAGAGGGCTAGAGAATCAGAAAACCTTTGAACCCCAGCATTCATGAACCCCTATAGGTTAGGTAAGGTAGGTTATGTTGTATATTACCATTGTCATCATCACCCCTTTCCAATTTAGAAGGCATGAGATACAAATAATTGCCTCTAGTCAAATGGGATATCAGTGATGAAAACTAGACAAAAGAACACGAGTTGTCTGGTTTGTTTTCACAGGTCCACACTACTATTGTGGGTGGTGGTGGGGGGGTACCTTGTCTCCTTGAATCTTGACACAACTGCTCTGCCCTTCTACCTTTGCTGAAGATCAATTCAGCAGCCACATAGCCAAGTCAGTTGGCCTTACCTGTTTAGGATGTGCTTTCTATTAAAGAAAGTCCTTTCTCGTGTTGGAGGTAGAAAGTCTCCGTGGTGAGCAGCTTTCTCCACACACACAATCTGGCAGTATTGAGTGGTAATAGCGAGAGATTTAACTGATGGCAAACAAGGTGTCTTCTGACTCTCACCTTATTCTCAATCTGAATCTGGTCTTTTTGTCCAGGGGCCCAAGAACCTACTGAAGTTATCTGCTCTTACAGCAATGAAAGTATTAAATCTAAATGGTTCAGTTGGGTGGGACTGAACCGGTCAAACATCAGGAGCCTGCCTCTCTGGTTGGGCCCCGCCTCTGGTGGGACACACCCCTAGGTCCTCTCCATCAGTGTCGCCTGACTGGTTTTTCACTTGGCAACTTGGTATCATCAACTAATCAATCAACCAACAAGCATTTATCAAACTCCTATGTGCTGGGAGATATCCTAGGCACTGGGGTTATTCTACATTCCCTGTCTTCAGGGAGTTTTCACTGTACCATGGGTGCTGCAAAGTGAAAACAACTTTTGTACATATGTGGCTCCTTAATGAGTAGGCAGGTTATACCCTCAATGAACAATTTCTAAATGATGATTGAAGAAATGAAATAGTAAGTAGACATATAGAAGAAATGGGGAAGGGGAAGGAAGGAAAAGGAAGCCCATGATAAAGGTTGCCTCTTTCTTGGGCTGAATTTCCACTTTCCATACACAATTCTTCTTTCCAATAAGCAGATATTGGCTGACATTTACTGGATCCATTACATAGATGAAAGAAGTAAGAGGAAATACCCATAGTTACTGGCCTGGCTATATGGTCATCTTGTCTTTTAGGAGGAAGAAATAACAAGAAACAGAAGAACTCATGAGGTTACATTACGTAGTGAAGAGAGCCAAGGATATAGGAGCCTTGGAGTCTGGTCTAACTACTATGACCTCTAACTAGCATTATGGCGTTGGGATAATCACTTCACTTCTATGAAACTCAGCTTCTTCATCTGTAAAGAGCGACAATTGGACTAGATGATCCTGAAGGTCACTTTCAGTTCTAATATTCAGTGATTCTGCCTCAATACACATGATGCAGCCCTCCTAGCTCTCTGATGCTCTTATTGTTGACATTCCAATAGTTGCTTGAGCTCATCTGCTTCTCCCAACGAAACAGTGAATGGTTAATGCAGGTACAATTATCCCATCTTATAGATAAGGAAACTGAGGTTCAGAAAGTCTAAGTGACTTGCTGTGGTCACATATCTAGTCAATTCTATACCCAGAACTTGAATCCATACTATCCTGACTAGAATTCTTCCATTTTTGGGGGACCTTTTGCTGCCTCTCTGTGAAGATTTAGAAAATAGCTTAGGGCTGGGAATGAGTGTTGAATTTGGAATCAGAAGACGGTTCAAGTCTTAGCTCTTCCAATTAATATATAAGCCTGGGTCACATTTTTACCTCTCTGGGCCAGACTATAAAGTCAGGGAGTTGTAGATAGCACCTGATAAGCCAAACACCTCTAAATCTGCAATTAATTAAAACCTAATATCCCAGAGCCTCAATTTATTTGTTCAGTCCCATTATTGCAATAACATTGAATTTAGAGGCTGGAGACCTCTTGGGCTCCACTCCGATCTCTGTGTATGATTGGGTAGTTCTGAGCAAGTCATTTCCATGGCTTGCAAAATGAGAAGTTTGGAAAATCAGCCCCTAACATTTCATTCAGCACCAGCCTTACAAGATGGGTTTGTTGTGAGGGACAAAGAAGAATGTATATGCTAATTAGTACTTTATAATACAGTTTGAATTCTGGTATGGCTAGGCTACCTGACTTCACATTTTTTTTTTCCATTAATTCCCTTGATGTCCTTGAACTTTTGTTCTTCCAGATGAATTTTGTTATTCTTTTTCTAGCTCTACAAAATATCTTTTGATATTTTTATTGATATGGCACCGAACAAATAAATTAGTTTAGGTAAAATTGTCATTTTTATTCTATTGGCTTGGCCTACTCATGAACAGTTGTTATTTTCCCAATTGTTTAGATCTGGCTTTATTTGTGTGAAATGTGTTTTGCCATTGCGTTCACACAATCCGTGGGATTGTCTCGGCAGGTAGACTACCAAGTGTTTTGTGTTGTCTAGAGTTTATTAAATGCGATTTCTCTTTCTATCTCTTGCTGCTGGGATTTGTTAGTAATATATAGAAATGCTGATGATTTATGTGGATTTCTTTTATATCCTGCAACTTCTCTAAAATTTTTAATTATATCAACAACTTCTTGTGGTCAATTCTCTAGGATTCTCTCAGTATGCCACCATATATTTTGCAGAGTCCTGCTTTATTTCCCCAATGCCTATTCCAATTTCCTCAATTTCTTTTTTTAATTGCTGTAGCTAAGATTTCTACTACAATACTGAATAATAGTGGTGATAATGAGCACCCTTGCTTAACTACTCATCTTAGTAGGAAGACTTCTAGCTCATCCCCATTACAGATAATACTTACTGATGGTTTTAGATAGATACTACTTATCATCTTAAGGAAAGTCTCATTTATTCCTATGTTCTTTAGTGTTCTTAATAGGAATGAGTCTCATGTTTTGTCAAAACCATTTTCTCCATCTCTTGGCATAACCATATAATTTTGTTGGTTTTGTTATTTGATATGGTCAATTATACTTTTAGTTTACCTAATTTTGAAATAGCCATGAATTCCTGGTATGAATCCCAGTTGGTCATAATATATGATCCTTGTGATATATTGCTGTTATTGCCCTGCTATTATTTTATTTCACATTTTTTGCATCAAAATTCATGAAGGAAATTAGTCTATAGTTTTGTTTCTCTGTTTTGGCTCTTCCTGGCTTAAATATTAGCATCATATTTATGTTGTAAAAGAACTTTGGTAGGATTCCTTTTTCATCTATTTTTCCAAAATAGTTTGTATAGTATTGGAATTAATTCTTCTTTAAATGTTTTGGTAGAATTTGCTTGTGAATCCATCTGGCCCTGGCGATTTTTTCTTATAAAGTTAATTAATGACTTGTTCAATTTCTTTTTCTAAGATTGGGTTATTTAAATATTCTAGTCCCTCTTTAATCTGGACAATTTATACCTTTGTAAATATTTGTCCATTTCACTTAGATTGTCAGATTTATTGGCATACAATTGGGCAAAATAGCTTCTAACAATTGCTTTAATTTCCTCTTCATTGGTAGTGAATTTTTAATACTAGTAATTTTTTTCTTTTTTATCAAAATTTTTAAATCAAATTAATGACTTATCTATTTTTATTATTTTCCCCATAAAACCATTTCTTAGTTTTATTTATTAGTTCAATAATTTTCTTCATTTCAATTTTATTAATCTCTCACTTGATTTTCAGAGTTTTAAATTTGTTATACTTGTAGTTCTTTCTAGTTGCATGCCCATTTTATTGATCTGCTCTTTTCTCTTTTTTATTTATGTAAGAGTTTAGAGATATAAATTTTCCCCCAAGCACTGCTTTGGCTGCATCCCATAAATTTTGGTATGTTGTCTCATTGTTGTCATTTTCTTTAATGAAATTATTGATTGTTTCTATAATTTGTTGTTTGACCCACTCATTCTTTAGGATTAGATTATTTAGTTTCCAATTAATTTTTAATGTATTTTCCACTGCCCTTAATTGAATGTAATCTTGATATCATTATGATCCAAAAAGGATGCATTTGATATTTCTACCTTTCTCCGTTTGATTCTGAGGTTTATATGGCCTAACACATAGTCAAGTTTGTGTAGGTACCATGTACTGCTGGAAAAAAAAAATATATTCCTTTCTATCCCCATTCAATTTTCTCCAGAGGTCTATCATATCTAACTTTTCTAAAATTCTATTCACCTTCTTAACTTCATTGTTTGTTTATTTTGTGATTTGATTTACCTCATTCTGAGAGGGAAATTGAGATCTCCTCACTAGTATAGTTTTACCATTTCCTCCTGTAATTCATTTAACTTCTTCTTTAAGGATCTGGATGCTATACCATTTGGTACATGTATGTTTAGTAACATTCATTGTCTGTGGTACTCTTTAGCAACATGTAGTTTCCTTCCTTATCTTTTAATTAGATCTATTTTTGCTTTTGATTTGTCTGAGATTGTGATTGTTATCCTTTTTTTTTTTTTTTTACTTCAGCTGAAGCATAATTGACTGTGCTTCAACACCTTACCTTTAATTTGTGTGTGTGTGTCTCTGCTTCAAGTGTGTTTCTGGTAAACAGTATGTTAGAGGATTCTGTTGTGTCTTTTATTTTTTTAATCCACTCTGCTATCTGCTTCTGTTTTATGGGTGAATTCATCCCATTCTCATTCACACTTATGATTACTGTATATTTCCCTCCATCCTATTTTCATTTCTCTCTCTCTCTCTCTCTCTCTCTCTGTCTCTGTCTCTGTCTGTCTGTCTGTCTGTCTGTCTGTCTGTCTGTCTCTCTCTCTCTCTCTCTCTCCTTTCACCCTGTTCCTCCTTACCAGTGTTTTCCTTCTGATCACCACCTTCCCAATTCGCCTTCCCTTTTATCGGTGTTCCCTTTTTTTCTTATTACCTTCCTCTTCTACTTCCCTAAAGGGTAAGATAGATTTCTATACACAACTGATTGTGTATCTTATTCCCCCTATGAGCCAATTTCACTGAGAATAAGGTACAAGTAATGCCCATTGCACCCTCCCATCTTTTCCTCCATTTTAATAAGTCTTTCATGCCTCTTCATATGAAATAACTTACCCCATTCTACCTCTCCCTTCCCTCTTCTCCCAGTGTAATCCTCTTTCTCACTCTTTATTTTCTTTTAGATATCATTCCATCAAACAGCTTATACCTGTACCTTCTGTGTATGTAACCTACTTTTAACTGCCCTAGTTACAGCACAGTTCTTAAGATTTACAAATATCTTCCCGTGTAGGGATATAAATAGTTTAGCTTTGTTGACTCCCTTTTGTTTTCACTTTCCTGAATACCTTTTTATGCTGCTCTTGAGTCTTGTATTTTAAATTTTCTATTCAGCTCTGGTCTTTCAATCGGGAATCCTTTTAAGTTCTCTTTTTCATTGAACGTCCATTTTTTCCCCTGAAGGATTATGCTCAGTTTTACCGGGTAGGTGATTCTTGATTGTGAGCATAGCTCCTTTTCCTTCTGGAACATCACATTCTAAGCCATCCAGTCTTTTAATACAGAAGCTGCTAAATCCTATGTAATCC